GAGGAGCAATTCTGCGCTCAAGAACGGGGGACTTCATTGCAGCAATTACAGCGGAAGTAAGAGGCAACAATCCACAAGAAGGGGAACTAGCAGCGACGAACCTTGGTTTGCAATGGGCGGCAGGACTTCAAACGGCACCCATCCATCTGAGAGTTGACTCTCAGAATTCAATTAAAGAAGTCAATGACTCTACTCACACAACAACAACAATTTCCCTGATTCAGACTACACTAGCAAAAAACAAGGGAACAATTAGGCACATTTTCAGAGAAGAAAACTCGGCAGCTCACAATCTGGCAAGACACGCAATTCAGAACAACTTTTATACAGTCTACAATAATTTTAATTCTCTCCCCAAGGCTGTTAAGGGAGCAATCATTTGCGACACTTCTTGTACCAACTTTCGTATTCATTAATCAGTAATAAATACTTTTCTCAATATATATATATATATATATATATATATATATATATATATATATATCATATCAATGGCGTTTAGGGATTTTAGAGAGAGAGAGGATGGCGGCGGTTCTCTCTGGCAACGGGTTAGGGATATACGCCGACCCCGATACTATGGCGAGCCACTTCAATTTCGTACAGCCAGGATCTGGAAGAAACCTGAGAGACGAAGATATTGGAGGCGCTCGAACTCGGGTCCAAATATCAGCGCGGATGGTTAGGTTACTCTATCAATTGAGAGTAAAAACTTTGAAATTTCACCTGAAGGGCAGTGTATCAAAATTTCAGAATCCAAATCAGGTAAAACTCGATTCTTAACAATCTCTTGGGCTATTGCACACTGGTTGGTCGATATTGTTACCGGGCGTGATTTCTCAAATGAAAATTGGGAAATATCTAGATATGATGGGGATTTCTCTGTCAAAGTCTCTTGGGATTCAAATCGGTTTGGACATTTTGCACGTATAGAGTCAAAAACAGGGTCTTTGCCTAACCAGATTATCATTCCTGCTGGTTTCTATTTAGAGGGGCTTAAACTTTTCAGTAAGGGTCTATCTGAATTATTGAGAAACTCAAAGGAATTAAATAATCACCTGCCAAAGCCACTGCCAATTCAAGAAGGTCTTGGGCTGGTTAAAATTTGCAAGGATGAGGGGTGGAGATGCTATAATGGGGTTCCTTCTGCTACTATATGTGATGAAGAACAGATTAATACTGAAAGTAGGGTAATTGTTGACCTCACTATGGAGAAAGAGATGGAAAGTTTGCAAAGGCACACTCCATTGGCAGAGGTTCCTTTAGACCAGGGATGTCTGGATATTTTTCATCAAGTTATCAAAGATAACATGAACCTCTTTAGGAAATCAATTGCTAGCAAACAATTTTTGGATGCTCTCAATAAAGGACAGATCCTCAACTACTCAGAGGAAGTCGTTAGGGTTACTAGAGAAGCAATCAAAAGCTTTGAGTATATTGATGCAGCAACAATGGAAGGTGCAAGGTATCCGGTGTACCTTGCTTATGCGAAAGAAGATATGAATGTCGTTCTAGCTCATTTATGCGGTGAACAGGATTGATTAGGATTACACTCTGGGCAGGGGTTATTTCCAGTTTCTTGGTCCTTCTTTTATGTTGTTTTGGTCCTTCAAAAGGAATTGAAGGAGGGGGTTTGAAGTCCTGGGAAACAGCTTTTGTTTGTTCTATTAATTTTGTTGCAGTTTTTTGGGTTTTGGTCGTCATCAGCAGGTGCTTGGTTATTGATTGGTGACTAAAAGCTTTAAGCTCTTGTTTAGTGTGCAATCAAGATTGGTGGGTCAACTTTACATCACCCTTGAGAATTTACAGGCTTCATTTGGAGACTTACAGAGTTACAGGTTCTAAAGCTTGAGTTTGGGCTACGCACTAAGCTTTCTAAGGCTAGTAGATCCCCCTATTCACACTCTCTTCTTCCTGGTACCTTTTACTAGGAAGAGGCCTTGGTTTTTTTCCTGTTGTGTGGTATATTGGAGGTGTTACAATTGAATCTGGTCCTGGCAAAGTATCAACTTGCTTTGACACCGAGGACAATAATGGCGTTTATGTGGACCCCTCCACTATAACCCTGGTGCTGATCCAAGAAGAACTGACCAACACAAGCTGGATGTTTGGACTTGTTGGTGTCTTTACCCAGTCGTGGCTTAGTGTGCCTTTATCTTTGGACTTTTGCTTTTTGGATTTTTGTTTTGTTTGTGTTTTAGGGATGCAAGGCATTATGTAGGGGTCTCAGCCAACCCCCTTGTACTTTTCTTTTACTTCTAATAAAAAACTTTGTTTATAATATATATATATATATATATATATATATATGCTGCAACTTCCCCAAAAAATTTCTTTTTGATTATGTCATTCTTGAATTCTTGTAAACGTGCATGAAAGACTCTACATACAAGATCTGGCCTACTTTGTGCCTTATCTCTGTGCTGGAGATGTTCTTTGATTTCAGGCCAATTAGGATTACACGTCATTGTGACAAACAAATCTGGTTTCTCATATTGCTAAACAATTGCCATTACATCTAGGTAACGTTTACGCATATCCCGAATCCACCTATGAATGAAGCCGGTAGAACAACACGTTGGCCAACATCATCACCATAGACCATACCCATATGCATGCTATCAACAACGCCTTGATATGTTTTAGATCTGAGGTCAAGCTGTTTTAGTATGTAATAATCTAACAGTTGGGTTTCAATCTTACCATACACATCAACCATAAACTGTTGTAAAAGCCTTCCTGTGTGTAACAAATAACTGGAATCATCATGGCGTATCTGGAACTTATAAGCGTAATATTATTTGCATGAAACAGTTTTCCTCTTTTTTCCATTTTGAATATTATCTTCTTCCATTTGAATTATGTCCTCAGCCGTATGTGCAACGCTAAGACCTGGCATGACAGAGGGTATTTGTGTGTTTCGTGCTAAATGTCGTTGCGATTCTGATAACACCCTATTAATTCCTGTATGCCAACCTACCTCCCTATGAGCAAACAACAGTGGATATTGTAATGGATCATAACATCCGTAAAAACATTGTATGTTCTGTGATTTACCACTGTGAGCATAAACACCAATGTGTTTGCTTTTTGGACTTCCGTTGTTGTTATCCTCCATCCATATTGCAGCAACTTGTGAGGCAGTAGGAATATTATAAACTCGTTGGTCCAAACCTGGATGGTTATGTAGCTTAATGCCGAATTCTGCATCATTACATGTCTTTCACACTCTAAAAAATTGAGCGTATGGGTTGTCTGAAATCACTTCAACAAAAGCAGCTACAATCTCTTTGTCTAATCTATCTGATGTCTGTACTCTACCCTCAACTTTGTGATCGGTATCAAAAAAATATAGTTGTAAATTTCGAGGTGGAGATCCATTTAGAAGCAAGTCGTTTACGAAGTGATGTATTTGTCCTTGAACCTTAAAGGTGTAAACTCCTTTATTCCTCCTGCATAAATCTTTGTCATAATTATATATACCAATTGATGTGAACGCAAATGTGTTGTTGTACGTACGGACAAGAGATTGAAACTGTTTTCCTTTGACATCATTGGTGATATATAAGTCTCTAAGAGTAGGAGGCATTTGTGTTGATGAAAGAACAACCTCACCTCGGGAACAGCAAAACCCCAGAGGTTCAAACTGGATACAGTTTGCCCCACAAAAAATACATTCTAATACCCTCTTTAAATAGAAAATTGTATCCTGATATGCAGAGTTTGTCAATGATTATATAAGAATACAATGTATAGTTGTAGGTGGAATGGTGACATCATTATAGGTTTTGAAGGAGGATAGATTTGGGAGAAACATGAAGAAGTCAGCAAATTTGGTCAAAGGTAAAGAAAGATATAATTAAATAATAAATGATAAAGGAGTTAAATGCTACACCTTGAGTGGAAGATGTGACAGAGACGTTGGAACGTCTAGTCGTATTTGAAGCGACGTTTTCTCCCCTTTCACGTAACTCACGATATCTAAGACGACACCTAAAGTTTATTTGCTCACGCCGATCACTCTCAGATGTTGGCTAAGTTGATGACGTTCCAGTTTCCATTGAATCTTTGAGGAGTTTGAAGTAAACGTAGGACTAATCAAAGGGTTGAAGTAAACATACGAATGAAGTCCAAGCATAAGTTCAATACATCAACACGGGAAAAAAAAGGACTTAGATAAATTTTTAAATCTGTTTGTACTTCAGCATAGATCTGTTTGTAAGGAAAATTCTTCC